TTGGTCTCTGGGCCTTCTAGGACTGTACGTGTGGTTTGTCTCTGCCTCAGGACTGTTACGTGTGTTGGTCTCTGGCCTCAGGACTGGTACTTGTGTTGGTCTCTGGGCCTTTAGTTAAGTTCCAGGCCCAACTCTAAGTTCTACTGTTTGTTCATAATGAATAGGCTAGGTCACTCTAAACTACAAAACCCAAGTAATCAAAATCCAAATCTCCAAAGTGCCGATGCCAAAATGAAAGAGATGTGTTGATAGCTAAACAGTTAGACGAGTGGATTTGATCGTGTGGTCCTGTGGTGGCTCATTTGCCGAGCGCGGTCTTACAATGTCAGTGTTGTGGTTCGATCCCTGCTAAAATGCAAAATATTACTATACTATCTTAGCCTACTGGTAAACTTCAGCAGATGGAACTGTTGTTACTCCTGAAATCTGTGTCCTGGAATTCTCAGGTTAAAACGGGGTTGCGCATATTCCAGAACTTTAAGAACATTTCAGAATATCATCATAGACCACCATGAAACCCAGCATCACAAATTCAAGTTAGGGCACGTCACATTGCGACGTCCCACGTGATTTTCCGCTACGTTCAGGGACCTTCCCATGACTTCATATTGTTTGCCCGGTACATATTAACTAACTAATTCCTCTATTATGTTGTCCGTTTTTTTTTAAAAAACAAGTGAGAATGTTATGATCCGAATGTATTGTATCATTGAGTCAATTGAATAAATTAAAACACTGATTCTGGAGTGCTGTTTGATGTACTTGGCCATACAGTACGAAATATGATGTATAGTGTCTGGGATTTTCCTCTCTGATATCCCACGACACTCCAGGCCACGGTTGTCAATCTGACCCATTTCCAGTGGTCCCAAGTTGCACCCATTTCCCTATGGGCCTCTTGTCAAATAGTGCACTACGAAGAGATAGGGTACCTTTTGGGACGCACAATCAGCCACATTCGAGCGCCTTCCAGTAGCCAATGAAAAGAAAAAAACCAGAAATTCCTCTTCCAGTATCCAAGAAAACCGGATTCTGTAAATGGTAGAACAGATTTGCCCAGTGTCACTCACTGTCCTCCAGTTCTGTACAATAGGGTGGCACTAACAGGATTCACATGTTGCGTTGGGGTTTGGGTTTCTCTACTGTCCAACAGAGAAAATAAAATGCCAGAATTTTTAGCGGTTACATTTTCATAGTTTTTTCCACCCATCACAACATTCCTCCAAACGAAATCCTGGGGACAGACGGTTCGAGTTTGTCGTTGTAATCATACTGGAGCAGAATTACGAGAAGGACAACCATTTTCTTGCCATCCAGTAAGCTTCCCTAGCACAGTAGGCACGCGTGACTGTTTGGGACACATTTTGCAGTTGGTTAAAACGTAGTAGTATTGACAATATTAGCATCGCAACTCAATTACAACAGTCAGCACAGCGAGTTATCGATAATGTGCAACGTTCAGCTCAAAAAACACTGAGTGATACGCCAGGTACAGTAAACCAGGCGTCAAAACAGGCTTTTTCTAGCCAAGAAATACAAAAAAACGCAATTAAACCATGATTTTTACACGATTTAAATAGAGATCATTAAACCTCTGAAGGTACATCTTCCGCAGAAGTTCGACAAATGAACCAAAACGCTTAACAAAGCACATGCTTTGAAGCAATATTAATTACAGTCAATTTTTCATAACACATTATTAATTGGCCATCTTATTTTTTTGGTAGCCCGTAAATACTCAAAGAATCACTTAAGCAACTAGAAGACACGGCCTATACAGTGGCCAACAGTCAGACAGCCGCGTAGAACCTGTGACTGGGAGAGACAGACCAACACGAACACAAGCCATGGGTTGTGATCTGCAACTGACCAGTAAACGCCGAACGGACGGAGTGGTCTTAGGGTCTAGCAAGCTCTATATGCCTAGGCTGGGCCACTAGAGAAGAGCAACTAGAATAGAATGACATCAGAAGGGGACAAAGGCCCTTAGCCACAGCAATTTGATTTGTACACTCAATGCTGGCCGCCAGTCCTTGTCCACCCTTTACTGACCATTGTACTTTAATGGGGAATCCGTTCTCGTCATAAAAGAGTCTTGTTCGATGAAGTAAGACAGAAGGGAGCCACCAGTCATTGGTGAACTGATCTGGCAGCCCTTGTTCCTGCATAGTAGAACCTTACAATGGATAGGTAGTCTCCCTCCCCCCATTCGTATCCAGGACACGACACAGGACCGGCGTGACGGGCACAGACCAGGGCCCAGGGTTCCTGCTGGATGAGAGCTGAACGGGGAGGTGGGGGACAGTAACAGAGATGGGGGACGGGACAGGGACAGAGGATGGTATGTGGACAGGACAGGTACGGGGGACGGGACAGAAGATGGATATGTGGACAGGGACAGGTACGAGGGACAGAAGATGGGTATGTGGACAGGACAGGTAACGAGGACAAAGATGGATATTGGACAAGGACAGTTACGAGTACGAAAATTTTATGTGGGACATGACAGGTACGAGGGACATAGAAAAAAGAGAGAAGGGGGGGGGAAGGAAAGGGAGAGGGAAAAAAGGGGAAAAGAAAAAAAAGAAAAGAAGGGGGGAGAATATGGATATGTGGACAGGGACAGTAACGAGGGACAAGATGTTTATGTGTACAGTGGGACAGGTACATGGACAAAGAGAAGATGTTTATGTGGACAGGGACCGAATAGAGGGGACAGAATAGTTTTTATGGGAGTGACAGGGACAGGTAGAGGACAGCAGATGTTTATGTGGACATGGACAGGTACGAGGGCAGGAAGATTTTAATGTGGACAGGGGTAACAGGTACGAGGGACAGAAGATGTTTATGTGGACAGGGACAGTACGAGTGAGGCAGAAATGGATGATGTGGAGCAGGGACAGGTACGAGGGACAGAGATGTTTATGTGGACATTGGACAGTACGAGGGACAGAGATGTATTGTGGACCAGGACGGTACGAGGGACATAGATGGTTATGTGGAAAGGGACAGGACAGGGACAGGGAACCAAAGATTGGTATGTGGACAGGGACAGGTACGAGGACAGAAGATGGGTTGTGGATAGGACAGGTACAGGGACCGAAGATGGGTATGTGGACAGGAGGCCTCAGGTATTGTGACAGAAGAGGGCCTCTTTGGTGTGCAGAAGGGAACATGTGATCGAGTGCAATATGTGTGTGTGTGCTGCGTGTATATCACGTGTACTGTGTGTGTGTGGTATGCTGCAGACGAGGTTCTGTATTTGTTACAGGGACCTAACATCCATGAACTAACTAAGGCCCCTCGTGGTGATATCTCCTCCATTCTTCTTTCTCTCCTTCTGCAGGTTGCTCCCGCTCTGCTTCGTACATCATGCTCCCTGCCATCAGTCTTCTCCCTCCTCATTCGGGGTCACCGACTGTGGGCATGTCTGGGAAGTCAGGTACGCGATGAACGCTTGATGCCAAACACCAGGTGCGGCGGGAGGCAATAGAGGAAGAAGACTTGTTGTCCCATTTTAATTTTCAGATCAGACAGAAAATCAACCAGGCAAACAAAAACTCCCTGAGTGTTTTTAAGGGGTAGGTTCCTTGCTCAAGGGAATATGGGCAGACATAGCATCTGGGATAGCTAGAATCCCCAGAGGACTGGTAAACCTCCAATTTAAGCCTACTAGAAAGTGTGTGCCCTCAGGCCCTGAGGGAAGCCAAAGTTATTCCCCTACCTAAGATAGTAAAGCCCCCTTAACTGGCTCAAATAGCCGACCCAATCCGCCTGTTTCCACACGTTAGTAAACTTTAGGAAAAAATGTTGTTGACCAGATAAAATGCTATTTTACAGTAAACAAATTGACAACAGACTTTCAGCACGCTTATAGGGAAGGACATTCAACAAGCACAGCACTTTACACAAATGACTGATGATTGGCTGAGAGAAATTGATGATAAAAAGTCTGTCGGGGCTGTTTTGTTAGACTTCAGTGTGGGCTTTTGACATTATCGATGATAGTCTGTTGCTGGAAAAACGTATGTGTTATGGCTTTATACCCCCTGCTATATTGTGGATAAAGAGTTACCTGTCTAACAGAACACAGTGGGTGTTCTTTAACAGAAGCCTCTCCAACAAAATCCAGGTAGAATCAGGAATTCCCCAGGGCAGCTTCTAGGCCCCTTACTTTTTTCAATCTTTACTAACGACATGCCACTGGCTTTGAGTAAAGCCAGTGTGTCTATGTATGCGGATGACTCAACACTATACACGTCAGCTACCACAGCGACTGAAATGACAGCAACACTTAACAAAGAGCTGCAGTTAGTTTCAGAATGGGTGGCAAGGAATAAGTTAGTCCTAAATATTTCAAAAACTAAAAGCATTGTTTTGGGGACAAATCATTCACTAAAAACCCTAAACCTCAACTAAATCTTGTAATGAATAATGTGGAAATTGAGCAAGTTGAGGAGACTAAATTGCATGGAGTAACCCAGGATTGTAAACTGTCATGGTCAAAACATATTGATACAACAGTAGCTAGGATGGGGAGAAGTCTGTCTATAATAAAGCACTGCTCTGTCATTCTTAACAGCACTATCAACAAGGCAGGTCCTACAGGCCCTAGTTTTGGTCGCACCTGGACTACTGTTCAGTCGTGTGGTCAGGTGCCACAAAGAGGGACTTGGGAAAATTGCAATTGGCTCAGAACAGGGCAGCACGGCTGGCCCTTGGATGTACACAGAGAGCTGGCATTAATATTATGCATGTCAATCTCTCCTTGCTCAAAGTGGAGGAGAGATTGACTTCATCACTACTTGTATTTGTGAGCGGTATTGACATGTTGAATGCACCGAGCTGTCTGTTTTGAACTACTGGTGCACACTCGGACACCCTGCCTGAAACACCTAATCAGTGTCTGAGACAGAGACAGAGATCAATACAGACAGACAGACAGACAGAGATCAAGACAGACAGAGCGTGGGCGTACTGACATACCTCAGAGACGAAGATTAAGGTGAGTCTTGCACCCAGGACGTGCCAGACAGACAGACAGACAGACAGACAGACAGACAGACAGACAGACAGACAGACAGACAGACAGAGAGAGCGTGGGCGTACTGACGTACCTCGAAGACTATGATGAAGGCTAGTCTTGCAGCCAGGACGTGCCAGACAGACAGACAGACAGACAGACAGAGTGTGGGCGTGCTGACCTACCTCGAAGACTATGATGAAGGCTAGTCTTTGCAGCCAGGACGTGCCGAAACTGCAGAGTGAAGTCGTACGGTACTGGGGCTCCAGGGGAAGGCTCTGTAGTCTCTGTACCTGCAGTATCTACTCTGCTCCTCACTCACGTTCCAGCGCACGCCCATGTCAAACACCGACAGGCTGCTGTTCATGTAGCCTCGCAGACACCTGCCACGGAGAGAGATGGGGGGGGTCAGAAACCAAGACACCGACAGGCTGCTATTCATGTAGCCTCGCAGACCCCTGCCATGGAGAGAGATGGGGGGGGTCAGAAACCAAGACACCGACAGGTTGCTGTTCATGTAGCCTCGCAGACCCCTGCCATGGAGAGAGATGGGGGGGTCAGAAACCAAGGCAAACTGGAACACAAACTGGAACAGAAACTGGAACACAAACTGGAACACATGAACCAAGGAACCAAATCTTGTGTGCGATAACTAACTAGAGACTAGTGTGGCTGTAGAATGGTCTGCCCTTGATGTAGGGTTGCTAGCTACCTGTCCAAAATTGTAATCAGTAATGTAACTTTTGGATTACCCAAACTCAGTAACATCATCTGATTACTTTCAGTTACTTTTGGATGACTTTCCCCTTAAGAGGCATTAGAAGAAGACACAAATGAATATCACCAATTTAACTCTATTGCAGGATAAATCAATGTTGGAGTTTACATAGCTGACCATAAATGGATGTTGCATTTGACTTTATGGGTTGGTAATGTACAGCTTCGTAAGAAGCATTTCAAGGTCCTGGAGTGGCCTAGCCAGTCTCCAGATCTCAACCCCATAGAAAATCTTTGGAGGGAGTTGAAAACAGCTCTTTGGTCTTGGCCATAGTGAAGTTTGGAGTGTGACTGTTTGAGGTTGTGGACAGGTGTCTTTTATACTGATAACAAGTTCAAACAGTGCCATTAATACAGGTAACGAGTGGAGGACAGAGGAGCCTCTTAAAGAAGAAGTTACAGGTCTGTGAGAGCCAGAAATCTTGCTTGTTTGTAGTGACCAAATACTTATTTTCCACCATAATTTGCAAATAAATTCATAAAAAATCCTACAATGTGATTTTCTGGATTTATTTTTCTCAATTTGTCTGTCATAGTTGACGTGTACCTATGATGAAAATTACAGGCCTCTCTCATCTTTTTAAGTGGGAGAACTTGCACAATTGGGTGGGCTGACTAAATACTTTTTTTCCCCACCTGTAACAAAGTATTGAGAAACTTTTGTTATTGACCAAATACTTATTTTCCACCATAATTTGCAAATAAATTCATAAAAATCCTACAATGTGATTTTCTGGATTTTTTTTTCTCATTTTGTCTGTCATAGTTGACGTGCACCTATGATGAAAATTACAGGCCTCTCTCATCTTTTTAAGTGGGAGAACTTGCACAATTGGTGGCTGACTAAATACTTTTTTTCCCCACTGTATATAACTGTAGCATAGACTAATGCTGCAGCAAATGTAGGCCTACCTCTCACAATAAAATAGGTTACCATGATGACATGATAGGTCTACATAATGAGATGGGCTGTCGGTCCCCACCCTGAGCATTGATAATTCATCATGCAGTGACCCGAGAGAAAGCCATAGAGAATCCAGATTTAGACTTTGCATATAACTTAACAGTTCCATTTCACGTCATGCTGTTCATATAAATAATTTATTATAATTTACTGGTTTCTCACAGTTATTTATCCCAGGAAAATGGAGTGGTCCTGGGAGGTAAATCTCGGTAACCGGTTCGTTCAACCCTACAACAGACGCATATCTGTATCCTAGTATGTGAAATCCATAGATTAGAGGCCTAATGAATTTATTTCAATTGACTGATTTCCTCATATGAACTGTAACTCAGTAAAATATTTGAAAATGTTGCGTTTATATATTTTTTCTGTATAAATAATATTGGTCTGTCTGCAAAAACCTGTAACATTCATCTGTATGCAGATTGCCCCTACTGCTGACCAGGATAAATTAGAGCGGCAATCTGATTTTGTTGCTTTGCAGAAAGCCCTTGTTTATTTAAAATGGGTACTTAATGCGGAAAAAACTAAATGTATGTTGTTTTCTAATTCTCTTAGAAATATTTCAGATGGTTTACACATTTATGCATTGGATGGTTCTCTCATGGAGCAGGTTCCCGCCTATAAATATCTGGGCTTTTAAATTGACAAAAATGTTACGTTTAAAAAAAAAAACATACGGATGAGCTAGTTAAGAAGCTGAGATTTAAAAGTAGGCTTCTTTTATAGAAATAGATCATGCCTCTCCTAAACAGCAGGAAGCAGATTATACAGGCATTATGGTGACACCATTTACCAGAATGCAACAGCCACTATTCTAAAACACTTGGATGCAGTGTACCATAGCGCAGTTCGCTTTATCACAGGTGACAGGTTTATATATATATATCTTTTTAATTTTTTAAAAATAATATTTGATTTTAAATTTACAAACAATGTCTACATCTCCTCTGCTCAGAGCCACATGCTCACATCCCCACTGCCTGCATTATTGTTTGCCACTTGGCCTTAAATTGTACCGGATTAAAAGTACATTTACATTGTAAAACTTCTGACAGCCAACTTTCTAGCTCCGCCCATAACTTTTGGACTTCATAGCATTCCCAGAAGGCATGGATTATTGGGAATGGAGTCATTGTTAGCTTTACACTTGAGACATGACTCTGCCGTTGTGCTGTAGAATTTGTGAATTTTGTCTCTTGTATAATACATTCTATACGTTGGTTTTTTACTGGATTACATCTTAGCTAATAACTGTCATTTCGTTAGGTATGCTCCAACTTTCCCTCCATTTTGTGCCAACATCAGTTCTTTTTAAGTCTTGGTTCCAATAGTTTCTATTTTTTTTTCTAAGAAATTGTCGGTTGGATAGGTTTTGTGTATCTTACCTCAAATAAGATTCCCTCAAGGTTGCTTTGATGTCCAAAAAGATTTCAAAATCGAAATTTCGTGATATGCACTTTTTCATTCTGTCATGGAAATAAATGTATTTCCTGTTACCAAGTCATTTTACGGTTTCTATTCCTTTAGTTTTCCACGTGGACCAATTTATCGGTGAATTCTGAAAAGCTATCCAAGGATTGTTCCATAAAGTTGTGTTTTTAGGGAGTGATATTGTTTATTGTAGAATACGTTTCATTTTCTTCCATATTGTTATAGTGTTCTTAACTATGAAGTTGTTCATGTTCTAAGCTTTATCCTATGAACAGGTGACAAGTTTAATACTCATCACTGCATCCTTTATCAGAAGGTCGGCTGGACGGCTCTAAATTCCCATGGGATCACTTCATTTCTCCCTTTTGTTACAAAGCTCTGCTGCACAAGCTTCCAACATATCTCACTTCTCTGTTAGAGTATATAAATACGAGGCATCAAACCCACTCACAGGGTTGGTTAACTCTTGAGGTCCCTCGTGTTGCTACCAACCTCGGTAAATCAGCCTTTAGTTTGAATAATTTGCTATCCTCATTACATCTTGAGGCCCTGGTGCCAAGAGGGCAGTTTCGAACGCTGATGCGGAATGAATTCACTTAGGTTTGTGAGTGTTTTGGTTGGTTGTAATAACGTATTTGTGTTGTTGAAATGTAGCGTATCTGCAACGGCTGTATCTTGTAGATTATCTTTGATGTTTTATTGTCACACCCTGGCTCTGGGGACTCTATATGTTGAGCCAGGGTGTGTAGTTTCTATGTGTTTTGTTCTATGTTCACAGTCTGGTTCTTGTATTTCTATGTTGGCCGGAGTGGTTCCCAATCAGAGGCAACGAGTGTCAGCTGTTGCTGGTTGTCTCTGATTGGGAGCCATATTTAAACAGTCTGTTTTCCCTTAGTGTTTGTGGGATCTTGTTCCTTTCGGTGTGTTCCGTCTTTGTTGTGTTTAACATAGGACGTCACGTTATCGTTTGTTGTTTTGTTGTTCGTGCATTCATTAAATAAAATAAGTATGTTCGTTCATCACGCTGCGCCTTGGTCTACTCCATTCGACGATCGTGACAGAAGATCCCCCATACCAGGACCAAGCAGCGTGTCCAGGAGCAGGCAGCCTGGACATGGGAGGAAGCGCCGGGAAAGGAGCTGGAGAGGTTGGCGATGGCCCAGGTGGGCAAAGTGTGGTCCTGGGAGGACATGCTCGGGGGAAAAGGGCCATGGGCTAAGATTAAGGCCCTGGCGAGAGAGGAGCAACGGCGTCAACAGTGTCGTCGTCGGACGGACGAGAGGCAACCCCAACATTTTTTTAGGGGGGGCACACGGCATGGGCGACTGGGCAGCAGGAGACTGCCACAGGGCGAATTGGGAGGTTGGCAGAGGAGGCCGCCAGGTTATGGGGGCTACTGGTCAAAGAGGGGAAGGAAGATGTAGAGGCACGGCGAGAGGTACTGGGGTGTGTTACCAGTCCGGTCCGGCCCGTTCCAGATCCCTGCGTAGGGCCAGTGGTGTGTGTCCCCAGTACGGTCCGGTCTGTTCCTGCTCCTCGCACCAAGCCTACAGTGCGCGTCGCCAGCCCGGCTCGGTCTGTTCCTGCTCCTCGCACCAAGCCTACGGTGCGCGTCGCCAGCCCAGCCCGGCCTTTTCCTGCTCCCCGCACCAAGCCTACGGTGCGCGTCGCCAGCCCAGCCGGCCTGTTCCTGCTCCCCGCACCAAGCTAACGGTGCGCGTCGCCAGCCCAGCCCGGCCTGTTCCTGCTCCCCGCCACCAAGCTAATGGTGGCGGCGCCAGCCCGGCCCGGCCTGTTCCTGCCACTCGCACCAGCCTACGGTGCGCGTCGCCAGCCCGGCACGGCCTGTTTCCTGCTCCCCGCACCAAGCTAACGGTGCGCGTCGCCAGCCCAGCCCGGCCTGTTCCTGCTCCCCGCACCAAGCTAATGGTGCGCGGCGCCAGCCCGGCCCGGCCTGTTCCTGCCACTCGCACCAAGCCTACGGTGCGAGTCGTCAGCCCGGTCCGGCCCGTTCCTGCTCCACGCACCAAGCCAGGGGTGCGAGTCGTCAGCCCGGTCCGGCCCGTTCCTGCTCCACGCACCAAGCCAGGGGTGTGCGTCGTCACCCGGTCCGGCCCGTTCCTGCTCCACGCACCAAGTCAGGGGTGCGAGTCGTCAGCCCGGTACGGCCCGTTCCGGCTCCACGCACCAAGCCAGGGGTGTGAGTCGTCAGCCCGGTCCGGCCCGTAGCTGCTCCACGCACCAAGCCCAGGGGTGCGCATCGTCAAGCCCGGTCCGGCCTGTTTCCTGCTCCACGCACCAAGCCAGGGGTGCGCATCGTCAGCCCGTCCGGCCCGTTGCTGCTCCACGCACCAAGCCAGGGGTGCGCATCGTCAGCCCGGTCCGGCCCGTTTCTGCTCCACGCACCAAGCTAACGGTGCGCGTCGCCAGCCCAGCCCGGCCTGTTCCTGCTCCCCGCACCAAGCTAATGGTGCGCGGCACCAGCCCGGCCCGCCTGTTCCTGCCACTCGCACCAAGCCTACGGTGCGAGTCGTCAGCCCGGTCCGGCCCGTTCCTGCTCCATGCACCAAGCCAGGGGTGCGAGTCGTCAGCCCGGTCCGGCCCGTTTCTGCTCCACGCACCAAGCTAACGGTGCGCGTCGCCAGCCCAGCCCGGCCTGTTCCTGCTCCCCGCACCAAGCTAATGGTGCGCGGCGCCAGCCCGGCCCGGCCTGTTCCTGCCACTCGCACCAAGCCTACGGTGCGAGTCGTCAGCCCGGTCCGGCCCGTTCCGGCCCCTCCACGCACCAACTAATATTGCGCGGCGCCACCCGCCTGTTCCTGCCACTCGCACCAAGCCTACGGTGCGAGTCGTCAGCCCGGTCCGGGCCCTCTCCCGTCACCACAGCCAGGGTGCAGTCGTCAGCCTGTCGGCACGTCCTGCTCCACCCACCAAGCAGGGGGGTGCGTCGTCAGCCCTGTCCCGGCCCGTTCCTGCTCACCACCAAGTCAGGGTGCGTGTCGTCAGCCCGGTACGGCGCCCGTTTCAGCCCACCGGCTGTTTCCGCTCCCCGCACCAGCTCATGGTGCGCGGCGCCACCCGGCCCGGCCTGTTCCGGCCACTCGCAACCAAGGCCTACGGTGGCGAGTCGTCAGCCCGGTCCGGGCCCCCCCCCCCCCCCCCCCCCCCCCCCCCCCCTTCCTGCTCCACGCCCAAGCCAGGGGTGCGAGTCGTCAGCCCGGTCCTGCCCGTTCCTGCTCCACGCCCAAGCAATGGGTGTGGCGTCGTCAGCCCGGTCCGGCCCGTTCCTGCTCCACTCACCAGCCCAGGGTGGAGTCCGTCAGCCGGTACGCCTCTTCCGGCTCACGCACCAAGCCAGGGGTGCGCATCGTCAGCCCGGTCCGGCCGTCGCTGCTCCACGCACCAAGCCGGGGTGCGCTCGCAGCCCGGTCCGGCCCGTTCCTGCTCCACGCACCAAGCCAGGGGTGCGCCATCGTATCCCGGTCCGGCCCTTGTGCTCCACGCACCAAGTCCAGGGTGCGCCGTCACCCGGGTCCCGGCCCGTTCCTGCTCCACGCCCAAGCCAGGGTGGCGAAGTCGTCAGCCGGTAACGGCCCCGTTCCGGCTCCACGCACCAAGCCAGGGGCGCATCGTCATCCCGGTCCGGCCCGTAGCTGCTCCACTCACCAAGCCAGGGGTGCGCATCGTCAGCCCGGTTCCGGCCCTTTCCTGCTCCACGCACCAAGCCAGGGTGCGGCATCGTCAGCCCGGTCCTGGCCGTTGCTGCTCCACGCACAAGCCAGGGGTGCGCATCGTCAGCCCGGTCCGGCCCGTTTCCTGCTCCACGCACAGGCCAGGGGTGCGAGTCGTCAGCCTGTCCGGCCCGTTCCCTGCTCCCCGCACCAGCCAGGGGTGTGTCGTCGTCATCCCGATCCGGCCCGTTCCTGCTTTACGCACCACGCCAGGGGTTCGCCATCGTCACCCGGTCCGGCCCGTTGCCTGCTCCACTACCCAAGCCAGGGTGCGCATCGTCAGCCCGGTCCGGCCGTTTCTGCTCACGCCCCAATCCGGGGTGTTCGTCGTCAGTCCGGCACAACCCGTGCCTGGGTCACCTGCCTGGTCAGGTACGGTCCTGCTCCACCCCGGAGCTGAATGCAATCCGCTCCTACGATTTCCAGGTCCAGCTCCAGCCAGCAGGCAGCCGGAACCGCTCCGAGGAGGAATGCCCACCCAGCCCTCCCCTGTTGGTTTATGTGGATGCCGCGGTCGGCAGTCCGCGCCTTTGGTGGGGGGGGGGGTACTGTCACACCCCTGGCTCTGGGGACTCTATATGTTGAGCCAGGGTGTGTAGTTTCTATGTGTTTTTGTTCTATGTTCACAGTCTGGTTCTTGTATTTCTATGTTGGGCCGGAGTGGTTCCCAATCAGAGGCAACGAGTGTCAGCTGTTGCTGGTTGTCTCTGATTGGGAGCCATATTTAAAACAGTCCTGTTTTCCCTTAGTGTTTGTGGAATCTTGTTCCTTTCGGTGTGTTCCGTGTTTGTTGTGTTTAACATAGGACGTCACGTTATCGTTTGTTGTTTTGTTGTTCGTGCATTCATTAAATAAAAGAAGTATGTTCGTTCATCACGCTGCGCCTTGGTCTACTCCATTCGACGATCGTGACATTTATTGAATGATCATGTTGATTTGTGAATTGTTTGTTCTCAGGGCACCGTTGAGAAAGAGACCCTGCTCTCAATTGGGCTCATCTGAATAAATAAAAGCTAAATAAAAATAAATATTTAAAAAAAATACGATGGACTCTTACCAACTGAGCCACAACAACCAACTAATACCGTGACACAAAGTGTCCCTGTAGAATGGCCAGAGCATTCTTTAAATGAACCGACGCCACAAGGTATAATCTGAGTGGATAGATGGACCTACTTCTCGTGGTGGTATCCCTTGTCCACACAGGGTCCGTATCTGAACGCGTAGACGAAGCGGGGGATGTAGTCGGAGGTGATGGCGATTACGAAGGCGTTGGTGATGACAGCCAGCACGCCGATCCCCTCCAGGATACCATACCAGATACCTGATGGGAGAACACAGCAGCACATTGGGCAACATGCTTCTACTCTCAATATGCTTCTACTCTCTAGCTATCTTTACCAGTAATCTAAAGCTACTCTGGGGGGAGGAAGTGTTCAATTCTCAACTAAACAGCAGATACTTTGTCTCCATCGCTCTCAAACGCTCTTGGTAAAATCCCTGCCTCCACTTGCACCTCAGGACAGTTTCCCTCTGATTAGCATTGTGTAATACACTTAACAAGATGGAAGAAATATCTGATAGGTTGTATTTACTGACCTATATCTTTGCTGTCTACTGACCTATATCTGTGGCTGTATTACTTTTTTGGATTTCATGCATTCCCAAAAGGCAGGTTTTGGGAATGGAGCATGTTATTTACACTTAGACATCCCCTTTCCTCCGTTGGCTGTAAATTTGTTTTTTTGGTCTCTTGTATAATCCTTCTACGTTGGTTTTTTACTGGTTACTCTTTAGCTAAACTTCTTTCGTTATATGCTCCAACTTTCCCTCCATTTTTAAAACTATTTTTTTTAAAGTCTTGGTTCCAATAGTTTCTTTTTTTTTTTTCTAAAAATTTGTCGGTTGGATGGGTTTGTGTACTTACCCCAAAAAATTTCCCTCAAGGTTGCTTTGATGTCCAAAAAATTTCAAAATCGAAATTTCTGTATCATTTTTTTCTTCTGTCCTGGAATAATTATTTCCTGTTCCCAAATCTTTTTAAAAAAAAAAAGGGGTTCTTTTTCCTTTATTTTCCACTGGCCCAAATTTAAAATGGGTGTTCTAAAAAGCACCCAAAGGATTGTTCCAAAAAGTTGTGTTTTTAGGTGAATTGTTTTTTTTAAATCTTTCTTTTCTTCCCCATTTTGTTTAAGTTTTCTTAACTATAAGTTGTTCATGTTCTAACTTTATCCTATAACATTACAATTTAATATATCCCCTGAAACCCTTTTATCAAAGGTCCTGGACGGCTCAAAAATTCCCATGGATCCTTTTTTCTCCCTTTTTTTGTTTAAAAAGCCTGCTCCCAAAACTCCAACATACCCACTTCCTGTTAAGATATAAAAAAGGGCATAAAACCCACTCCGGTTGGTTTTAACTCTTGGGTCCCTCGTTTTTCTACCAACCTCGGAAATACCTTAGTTTAAATAATTTGCTACCCTTTAAATCTTGAGGCCCTGGTGCCAAAGGGCGTTTCGAACGCTGATGCGGAATAATTCACTTAGGTTTTGAGTTTTTTGGGTTGGTTGAAATACGTTTTGTTTGTTGAAATGTACGTATCTGCAAGGGCTGTACTTGTGTTATTTTTGATTTTTATTGTCACCCCGGGCTCTGGGGACTCAAATTGTTGAGCCAGGTGGTATTTCTTTTTTTTTTGGTTCTATGTTCCAGTCTGGTTCTTGTATTTCTATTTGGCCGGATGGTCCCAAACAGGGCAACAGTGTCACTGTTCGGGTTGCTCTGTTGGGGGAGCCATTTAACAGTTTTTTTTCCCTTATTTTTGGGGATTTTTTTTTCCTTTCGTGTTTCCTCTTTTTTTTGTTTAAAAAATGGGACGTCCTTTCTTTTGTTGTTTTTTTTTTTCTGCATTCATTAAAAAAAAAAGTTTTTTTGTTCATCACCTGCCCTTTGGGGTCTACTCCATCGACGATCTGCCCCAAAATCCCCCATACCAGGACCAACACGTGCAGGACAGCACCGGCGGGGGAACCCCGGGGAAAGGGACGGGAGGGGTTGGGCATCCCCAGGTGGGCAAAGTGGGGGGTCCTGGGAGGACATGCTCGGGGAAAAAAGGGCCATGGCTAAAAAGGCCCTGGCGAGGGGGAGCCGGCGTCAACAGGGTCGTGTGGGAGGGACGAGAGGCAACCCCAACATTTTTTTGGGGGGGCACCGGCTTGGCGACTGGGCACGGGAACGCCACAGGGCGATTGGGGGGGTTGGCAAGGAGGCCCCATTTTGGGGGGGCTACGGGTAAAAAGGGGGGAAAGGAAGAATTAAGGCACGGCAGGGTCTGGGGTGTTTCCCATCCGTCCGGCCCTTCCAGATCCCTGCGAAACCAGTGGTGTTTGTCCCCGTACGGCCCGGGGTCTTTTCCTGCCCTCGCACCAAACCCACAGTGCGCGTCGCCACCCGGGCCCTCGGTTTTTTCCTCTCCTCCCCCAAACCTACGTGCCGTCGCCACCCACCCGGCCCTTTTTCCTGCCCCCCGCACCAACCTACGTGCGCTCGCCAGCCCACCCGGCCTGTTTCTGCTCCCCCCCAAAAACGGTGCGCGCGCCACCACCCGGCTGTTTCCTGCCCCCCCCCGCACCAACTAGTTTTCGGGGCGCCAGCCCGGGCCCGGGTGTTCCTGCACTCCACCAAACCACGGCGCGTCGCCAGCCCGGCACGGCCGTTCCTGCTCCCCCACCACGAAAGGTGCGCGTCGCCAGCCCCCCCCGGGCCCGTTCCCCTTTGTCCCCCCCCAACTAATGGTGCCGGCCCACCCGGGCCCCCCTGTTCCCCTGCCCCTTTGCCCAAGCCTACGGTGCGAGCTCAGCCCGGGCCGGCCCTTCCTGCCCACCCCCCAAGCCAGGGGGGCGATCTTTACCCGGGCCGGCCTTCCTTTCCCACGCACCCAACCATTTTTTGCGTCTCACCCGGGCCGGCCCGTTCCTGCTCCACCACCAAGTCAGGGGGGCGATGTTTCCCCCGGGCGGGCCCTTCCCGGGTTTCCCCGCACCAACCAGGGTTGGGTCGTCGCCCGTCCGCCCTTGCTCTCCCCCCCACCAAGCCAGGGGTGCCATCTCACCCTTCCCCTTTTTCCCGCTCCCCACCACCGGGGTCGCATCTCGCCCGTCCGGCCCGTTCTCTCCCCCCCAACCGGGGTTTTTTTTCGTCAGCCCGGTCCGGGCCCCTTTCGTTTCCACGCACCAACTAACGGTGCCCCCAGCCCCCCGGCCCTTTCCTCTCCCCCCGCCCAAGCTAGTGCCCACCAGCCCCCCGCCTTTTTCCTTCCACCCCCGCCCAACCTACGTCATCTCGCCCGGGCCGGCCCGTTCCTGTCCATGCAAACCAAACCAGGGGGGCGATCTCACCCGGGCCGTCCCCTTTTCCCGCTCCACGCCCAACTAAAAGGTGCCGGGCGCACCCAGCCCGGGCCCGTTTCCCCTCCCCCCCCAATGGTGGGGGAGGGGGTGTTTTCCCTGGTGGTGGGGGTTGGGTGGGGTTTTTCCCGGTTTTGCCGCGCCCCCGGCCTGTTCCTGCCCTGCCCAACCCCCTTTTCTTGCCCCCCCCGTGCTGAAACCGGGGGGGAGGGCCCCCCCGGGGGGTTTCTTACCCCCGGGGGGTGGGGTCGTGCCCTCCGGCCCTTCCTGCCCCCCCTGGGGGGTCCCCCGTACCCGGGCGGCCCCGCCAGCCCGGCCGTTCCTGGGCCCCCACCAGCTAAGGTGGGGCCCCAGCCCGGGGCCGGGCCCTTCCTCCCCTCCCCCAAGCCCAGGTGCAGTCCACCCGGGCCGGCCCCCTTCCGCTCCACCCCCCCAAGCCCGGGGGGGGTCGTCACCCGGTCCCGGCCCGTTCCTGCTCCCGCACCAAACAGGGGGGTTGCGTCGTCACCCGGCCCGGCCGTTCCTCCCCCACCAACCGGGGGGCGCCCGCCCGGCGGCCCTTTTTCCGCCCCGCACCAACCCGGGGGGCGATCCACCCTTCCCCTCTGCTCCACCACCAACCGGTTTCCAATGTCACCCTCCCCCGTTCCCGCTCCACGCACCCAAACCATGGGTGCGTCTACCCGTCCCCCTTCCCCCCCCACGCCCAACCAGGGGCGATCTCACCCGGGCCCCGGCCCGTTTCCGCTCCACGCACCAAACCAGGGGTGCGAGTCGTCAGCCCGTACGGCCCGTTCCGGCTCCACGCACCAAGCCAGGGGTGCGCATCGTCACCCCCGTCCGGCCCGTAGCTGCTCCACGCACCAAGCCAGGGGTGCGCATCGTTCAGCCCGGTCCGGCCCGTTCCTGCTCCACGCACCAAGCCAGGGGTGCGCATCGTCGCAGCCCGGTCCGGCCCGTTGCTGCTCCACGCACCAAGCCAGGGGTGCGCATCGTCAGCCCGTCCGGCCCGTTCCTGCTCCACGCACCAAGCCAGGGGTGCGAGTCGTCAGCCCGTCCGGCCCGTTCCTGCTCCACGCACCAAGCCAGGGGTGTGCGTCGTCAGCCCGATCCGGCCCGTTCCTGCTTTAACGCACCAAGCCAGGGGTGCGCATCGTCAGCCCGGTCCGGCCCGTTGCTGCTCCACGCACCAAGCCAGGGGTGCGCATCGTCAGCCCGGTCCGGCCCGTTTCTGCTCCACGCACCAAGCCAGGGGTGTGCGTCGTCAGTCCGGCACAACCCGTGCCTGGGTCACCGGTGCCTGGTCAGGTACCGGTCAGCTGCTCCACACCGGAGCTGAAGCAATCCGCTCCTACGATGTCCAGTCCAGCTCCAGCCAGCAGGGCCAGCCGGAACCGCCTCCGAGGAGGAATGCCCACCCAGCCCTCCCCTGTTTGGTTTATGTGGAGGCGCGTGCAGTCCGCGCCTTTGGGGGGGGGGTGGGTACTGTCACAACCCCTGGCTCTGGGGACTCTATATGTTGAGCCAGGGTGTGTAGTTTCTATGTGTTTTGTTCTATGTTCACAGTCTGGTTCTTGTATTTCTATGTTGGCCGGAGTGGTTCCCAATCAGAGGCAACGAGTGTCAGCTGTTGCTGGTTGTCTCTGATTGGGAGCCATATTTAAACAGTCTGTTTTTCCCTTAGTGTTTGTGGAATCTTGTTCCTTTCGGTGTGTTCCGTGTTTGTTGTGTTTAACATAGGACGTCACGTTATCGTTGTTGTTTTGTTGTTCGTGGCATTCATTAAATAAAAGAAGTATGTTCGTTCATCACGCTGCGCCTTGGTCTACTCCATTCGACGATCGTGACATTTATTGAATGATCATGTTGATTTGTGAATTGTTTGTTCTCAAGGCACCGTTGAGAAAGAGACCCTGCTCTCAATTGGGCTCATCTGAATAAAT